AACTAAGCCTGTGTTCTGCAACTAGAGAAAAGCCCACACTGCAATGAAGACCTAGTTCAGCCAAAAAAAAAAAGTTTTTAATTAAAATAAAATAATCATTTTAAAAAATACATAAAACTGCTTTTTGTTTTTCTGCACTTGTTGTTAATCTCTTTGTTGAAGAGTCCTGTTTGGGTGAGTTTCATGCGGGAATCCAACTTTAGATAGTGTAATTAAGCCAGAAAAGATAAAAATGAGTAAGTCATAAGTAAAGACTAGGGGAAAAGTATTCCAGGTAGAGGGAATAAATGTGCAAAAGGCTCAGAGGCAGGAACAGTTCTATTATGTGTGAGAAAGACAGAGAGAAGACCTTTCTGACTAGAGCATAGCAGGCAAGAGGAGATTGTTTAGAGAGGTCAACAGGGCCTGACTATGGGGAACTTTATAGACCATCTCAAACCATCTCAAGGATTCTGAATTTCATTCTCAGACTAAAGGGACACCCCTGAAGAGTTACTTGTAAGAAATGCACCAACTAATAAGATGATAATAATAAAGGAAACTCTGTGTGTGAGGCGGGGGGGGGGGGGGGCATGTAGGAGAGTATATGGCAACTCTGCACTATCTGCTTAATTTTTCTGAAAAATCTAAAACCATTCTTAAAAAAATAAAGCCTACCAATAAAAAATACAAAACTGAAAGTAAAGATCCCTGTATGAAAACCTAAGATGGGTAGAGTTTTGACTTCTGCTAGCCCCCAGTACCTTAGAATGTGACTATATTTGGAGATAGGACCTTTAAAGAGGTAAGTAAGTTAAAATAAGGTCCTCAGGTAGACCCTAATCTTATCTGACTGATGTCTTTAAGAGAAGAAATGATTAGGACACAGAAAAAGATCATGTGGACTTCCCTGGTGGTTCAGACAAGATTCTACACTGCTACTGCAGTGGGTACAGGTTCAATCCCAAGGAGGGGAAGAAAGATCATATGAAGTCAAAGGGAGACTGCCATCTATAAACCAAGAGAGGGGCCTCAGAAGAAATCAACCTTGTCAATACCTTGATCTTGACCTTCCAGCCTCTGGAAGTGTGAGAAAATAAATTTTCTGTTGTGTCACCTAGTCTATAGTAATGTTATGACAACCCTAGAAAACTCATACAAAGACATTTCACTTTAGTTTCCAAATACAAAAAGGCAATATCGAATATGCTTTATCAAGATATACATCCTCAGCCCCATTTCCCCTGTGGATTTGCTTTTTCTGGCCTTACCTCTACCATCTCCCTATCTGGAAAATTGTTGATCTGTAGAATAAAGACCAAACTCCTGAGGATGGCACTTAAGGCCTTCCTGACCACCTCCCCCCCACTCTCCCTCATTCATCTGAGCTACTAATATTTCTCCACTTTTCAGGCTGGTTTGGTTCTCCATTCAGGGGACATGGAAGACAAGGTAGAGAAGTAGGCTTTTGTGGGCCTGGTGAGGGGTGGGATGAGATGGTCATATGGTGGGAAGATGAAATGGAGACCAGTCAGGTGCTGCAGCAGTAATCCCGACTTGAGAGACTGACTCATATTAGGGTGCTTGGGGAAGATGGAGTGAACTGCATAGATTTCAGAGATATTTGGGAGATAAACTGACAGGAATCGAGTACTAAACAAATATTTGTTGACTTTCCTGGCCACTCTTTCTAAAGTAAGCTCTTTCGTTACTCTCCTGTTTACTTCCTTCACAGCACTCTTCACAGCCTGCAATTACCTTGTTTATATTCTTGCCTATTTTCTGTTTCCATTAAGCAGAATGTAAACTAAATGAGGGCTGCAACCTTGACCAGTCTTACACACACAGCGCTTGGGCACTGACCAAGTGCGCTCAGATCTTTGAGGACTGAATAGGCTAATAAGTGATTGGATGGTAAAGAGTGAGCACAGAGAGGTGAAAGGTCAAGGCCAGGAAGAAGCCTGTGATCCTGGGATCCAGAGGTTTAAGACTCCACCTCTTTACCACCTCACATGGGTCAGAATGGCCATCATTTAAAACTCTATATTAACAAATGCTGGAGAGGGTGTGGATAAAAGAGAACCACCTTAAACTGTTAGTGGGAATGTAACTTGGTGAAGCCACTATGGAAAACAGTATGGATGTTCTTCGAAAAACTAAAAATAGAGTTGCCATGTGATCCAGCAATCCTACTCCTAGGTATATATTCAGAGAAAATTCTTTTTTCTTTTTTTTAAATATATTTTTGTCATTTATTTTTATTAGTTGGAGGATAATTACTTTACAATATTGTAGTGGTTTTTGCCATCATTGACATGAATCAGCCATGGGTTTACATGTGTTTGCCATCCTGATCCCCCCTCCTACCTCCCTCCCCATCCCATCCCTCTGGGTCTTCCCAGTGCACCAGCCCTGAGCACTTGTCTCATGCATCCAACCTGGGTTGAAGATCTGTTTCACACTTGATAATATGTTTCAGTGCTATTTTCTCAGATCATCCCACCCTCGCCTTGTCCCACAGAGTCCAAAAGTCTGTTCTATACATCTGTGTCTCTTTTTCTGTCCTGTATATAGGGTTATCATTACCATCTTTTAAAATTCCATATATATGCGTTAGTATACTGTATTGGTGTTTATCTTTCTGGCTTACTTCACTCTGTATAGTGGGCTCCAGTTTCATCCATCTCATTAGAACTGATTCAAACATATTCTTTTTAATGGCTGAGTAATATTCCATTGTATATATGTACCATAGTTTTCTTATCCATTTGTCTGCTGATGGGCATCTAGGTTGCTTCCATGTCCTGGCTATTATAAACAGTGCTGCGATGAACATTGGGGTCACGTGTCTCTTTCAGATCTGGTTTCCTCGGTGTGTATGCCCAGGAGTGGGATTGCTGGGTCATATAGCAGTTTTATTTCCAGTTTTTTATGGAATCTCCACACTGTACTCCATAGTGGCTATACTAGTTTGCATTCCCACCAAGAATGTAAGAGGGTTCCCTTTTTTCCACTCCCTCTCCACACCCTCTCCACCCCCTCTCCACACCATTTATTGCTTGTAGACTTTTGGATAGCAGCCATTCTGACTGGCGTGTAGTGGTACCTCATTGTGGTTTTGATTTGCATTTCTCTGATAATGAGTAATGTTGAGCATCTTTTCATGTGTTATATTCAGAAAAAATTCTAATTCAAAAAGATACATGTACCTTAATGTTCACTGCAACACTATTTACAATAGCCAAGACATGGAAACAACATATATGTACACTGACAGATGAATGGAAAAAGATGTGGCACATATATACAGTGGACTACTACTCAGCCATAAAAACAATGAAATAATGCCATTTGCAGCAACGTGGATGAATCTAGAAATTACCATGCCAAGTGAAGAGATTATCATACCAGAAAGAGAAAGACAAATACCATATGATATCATTTACATGTGGAATCTAAAATATGACGCAAACTTACCTATGAAACAGAAACAGGCTCACCGACATAGAAAACAGCCTTGTGGTTGCCAAGAGGGGAGATGGATTGGGAGTCTGAGATTAGCAGATGCAAACTACTACACAGAGAATGGATAAACAGTACGGTCCTACTGTATAGTGCAGGAAACTATATTGAATATCCTATGATAAACCATAATGGAAAAGAAAATGATAAAAGAATGGATATATTGTTATATGTGTAACTTAGTCACTTTGCTGTACAATAGAAATTATACAACATTGTAAATCAACTATACTTCAATAAAGTAAATAAATTTTTAAAAACCCCATCTCACTAGGAAGACCCAGAGGGATCGGGTGGAGAGGGAGGTGGGAGGGGGGACCGGGATGGGGAACACATGTAAATCCATGGCTAATTCATTTCAATATATGACAAAACCCACTGCAATGATGTAAAGTAATTAGCCTCCAACTAATAAAAATAAATGAAAAATAAATAAATAAATAAAATGGTACACATCAAAAAAAAATAAAATAAAATAAAAACCCCATCTCTCTGTCTCTGGCCCTGTGAAAGGTGGGCATGGACCAGAGGTTTAGGGGTTCAGATGGCCCCAGAACCACCTGCCCAATTGTCCTTTGCTAGATTTGAGAAAATATAAGTACTTCACTTTCTGGCCTCTGGCTGCGGACGCAGGGCAGTGGATGTTTTCAGAGAAAGAGAATAGGCACACCTCCAGAACATGAGATCTACCCCTTAAGGGTGTGGGTGTAGGGGCAGCAGAAGATGTCACCTGGCCCATTACAAAGCCTTGAATGCCTGGCTGTTTGTTCTCAAGACTCAGCACACACACACAAAAGACTCAGCATAGGAGCTCAGGCCTCCACACTCCCCACTCCAGGCAAGCCCAGCTGGGAGGATGCAATTCCTCTCATCCCCTAAAGGGGGCAGCACCGACCTGGACCTGCGGTCTCTGGCCAAGAGCGTGGGACGAACGCAAATTCCCGCGCACTTAAAGGGTTGGTGACCAACTCGGGCAAAAGCGAGCGGCGTCCCTGATTCTGCCCTCTAGGTTGGAACGCTGGACCATCTAGTTGCTGAGGAGACTCTCCATACGTCCAGGCACCCTCGGACTTCAGCATAAGCCCCCAAGAATGGGGGGCGAAAGGACCCCCATTAGAGGGACTCTCAGTCACCAGGACGAGGTAGAAAGGCAGGGACAAAGCTGGCTCTTACATCCTGATGGCCACCCACATGGTGACTAGCAGTATGGCTGCGTCTTGAAGGCGGGAGCAGTAGGCTTGGCCTCGGGGTGCGCGGGTGGGAGGAGGAGCTTCTTGTTGACGTAAGGCCTGATGAGGGGCGTGGCTTCTCGGTGACTCGCATGAAGGGGGCGGGCTCTTAATGACTAGACGCCGGGGAGGGGGCAGGCGTTCATTGATAAAAACGCTGGGCTCCCTGGGGCGCGAGCGCGGCGTAGCAAATCCTGGCAGCGCCTCGCGCCGTCCGGGCCTGGCGGAACACAGAAATTAGCCCGGCCGGCGCTGCGCCGCACCACCCGCATGGAGCCCGCGGCAGGCTTCCTGTCCCCGCGACCCTTCCCGCGTGCGGCCGCCCCGCCAGCGCCCCCCGCCGGACCCGGGCCGCCTGGAAGTCCCAAGCCTGGATCTGAGCCAGAGGTGCTGGCCGAGACTCCGGCACCGGACCCTGGGCGCCTCATCACCGACCCGCGGAGCGGCCGCACCTACTTCAAAGGCCGCCTGTTGGGCAAGGTGAGCTGGGGAGTGGTGCCAGCCAGGGTAGGGAAGCCTTGCCGACTTCTTTGCCCCCGCGGAGCGGGGCGGGGCCGCTTGGCCTCGGCATGGGGACGTCTGCGGGCCAGACGTGCCTGATACCTTCTCCTCTTAGGGGGGCTTTGCCCGCTGCTATGAGGCCACTGACACAGAGACCGGCAGTGCCTACGCGGTCAAAGTCATCTCGCAGAGCCGCATTACCAAGCCGCATCAGCGTGAGAAGGTGAGCCAGGGCCCAGGCCCAGCGGGCGACGGGTGGGGTGGGGACGGTGACGAGGGAGCCCTTGACGGATGATAACCCCGCGCCACCACTGCAGATCCTAAACGAGATTGAGCTGCACCGCGGCCTGCAGCACCGCCACATCGTGCGTTTCTCGCACCACTTTGAGGATGCTGACAACATATACATTTTCCTGGAGCTCTGCAGCCGAAAGGTGAGGGATGGTGGAGGTGGGAGAGGGAGTAGGGACCTTAAGACCCAAAGTTGGAGTCCTGTTCTTCCTCGGCGAACACACGGAGGGAGGGTCGGGGAGGGCGAACGAGGGGCTGAAGCCGCGGCTCTCTGCAGTCCCTGGCCCACATCTGGAAGGCCCGGCACACCCTGTTGGAGCCAGAGGTGCGCTACTACCTTCGGCAGATCCTTTCCGGACTCAAGTACTTGCACCAGCGGGGCATCTTGCACCGGGACCTCAAGCTAGGTGAGACTCCTGGGCCAACAGGATGGGGGGTTGGGGAGGCAGAGAAAAAGGCGTCTGACACACTTCTCCGCCCCTGTTCAGGAAATTTTTTTATCACTGAAAACATGGAACTGAAGATGGGGGATTTTGGACTGGCAACCCGGTTGGAGCCCCCAGAGCATAGGAAGAAGTGAGTGTTTGAGTAGGGGGGTGGCCACAGTCTGTGTGACACAGATGACATGAGTAACAGACACTGGGTATATCTGTAGGAGGCACGATGATTGCCTGATGTGACCCTGTGATTGATGGGAGGGATGATGATGGGCTGTGTGTGTGTGTGTGTGTGTGTGTGTGTGTGTGAAGGTGGCGGTGGCAGCCTCGGTTCCTGGGAATGGTGGAGAGGCTGCTGGTCCTATGTGTGTGAGTCTCTAAGATGGATGGGGTGTAAGGATTCTTGAAGGTGTGTAACCAGTCCTGTGTGTGAATGTGGATGGTGACATAAGCAGCGTGTGTGTGAGACAGACTGAGTGTGGAGATGGTGTACATGACACCCTGTGTGTGTCAGAAAACCCTGTTGTGACCATGAGGACTGGGTGTGTAACACAGCATGTGTGGCAGTAATATTGTGTAGTAACACAGCAGTAGTGTTCATGGGGGATGTGACAGCTGATGTTAGTGTGTACGGCACAGACCATAGGAGGTGACAGCCTGTGGTGGGAGTAGGCGGAGGAAGGGATCAGTGATGAACCCTCTGTTGACCTGGAGGAGGGGGCTGGGTTAGGGGTCAGGAACTCCCCCGTCCTGCAGAGTTGCTGAGCAGCTGGGCCAGGCGGGTGGGCAGGGACTCAGCTGCCATCCCTGGCTCCATTGTCTCGGAACAAACAGAAGTTCTCTGGCCTTTGGTGACAGGCAGCTGCTTTGTCTGGACTCTGAGTGGGGGCAGGGATGAGGGGCCATCCAGGCTGCCTCTGAACCTTGCCTTCTCCTCCTTCCTATCCCGTCAGGACCATCTGTGGTACCCCCAACTATGTGGCCCCAGAAGTGCTGCAGAGACAGGGCCATGGCCCGGAGGCAGATGTGTGGTCCCTGGGCTGTGTCATGTGAGTGCCAGGGTCATGTGTACACAGAGGGTGGCCGGGGGGCCTATGTTCCACTTTACTCCTGACCACCTTTTCTCTGCCCCACAGGTACACGCTGCTATGTGGGAGCCCCCCCTTTGAGACCGTTGACCTGAAGGAGACGTACCGCTGCATCAAGCAGGTTCACTACACGCTGCCTGCCAGCCTCTCACTGCCTGCCCGGCAGCTCCTGGCCACCATCCTTCGAGCTTCACCCCAAGACCGCCCCTCAATTGACCAGATCCTGCGCCATGACTTCTTTACCAAGGTTTGTAGTGCCCCAGACACATCCAGTCTGCAGATTCTCCAGAGATTGAATTGGGAGCAGGTGACAGGACTCCTGGGCTGCTCTTCTCTGCTCACACGCTTTCTCTCCTCAGGGCTACACCCCGGACCGTCTCCCTGTCAGCAGCTGTGTGACAGTCCCAGACCTGACACCCCTTAACCCAGCTAGGATTCTGTTTGTCAAAGTTACCAAGAGCCTCTTTGGGAGAAAGAAGAACAAGAGTAAGTCTGAGACGTCAGTGGATTTGAGGGTACAGAGCAGCAGGGGGCTTGTCACATACATGTGGGAGTGTGAGTGTAGGGTCCCTGGGGACCCCTTGGGATAGCATACATTACACAGGCACTTGGCTATGCCTGTGTCATCTCTTCAGGAAGCAGGGGGTCTGGGCAGGATTCTGAGGGTTCTATCTCCCCACCCCCTCCCAGATAAGAACCATCCAGAGGAGCGGGACGACGTCTCCTCTTTGGTGAATGGCCTCACTCGGACATCCATTGGACATCAGGATGCCAGGCCTGAGGTGAGGTGCTCATGTGGACGGTGTTCCCTGACTCACCCCCACCCTAGCAGCTGCAGGAAGCCTGGGATAAAAGAGGCTGGTGAAGCATCTAGCCTCGTGGTGGCCTAATTGGCTGTGTCTCATCGGTCAGGCGGGGTGACCTGGGGTGCCCTGGGTGCCAGGGCAAGGCGAGACATGGACTCTCAAGGATTTGGATTTCGGGGCCTGTCTCACTCCTTTTCCCTACCCAACCCTCCAGGCTCCAGCAGCTTCAGGTCCAGCCCCCCTCAGCCTGGTAGAGACAGCACCAGAAGACAGTTCACCCCGTGGAACACTGGCAAGCAGTGGAGATGGTGAGCCACCAGGAGGGTGAAGGGTGCTCGAGGTTGCGGGGGCTGAGATCAAGCCCGGAGGGAAGGAGTGGGTGGAGAGTCATCTTCTAGGACTTGTGGGACTATTGCCTAATTCTCAGTGCCCTGTTCCCTTCAGGGTTTGAAGAAGGTCTGACTGTGGCCACAGTGGTGGAGTCAGCCCTCTGTGCTCTGAGAAACTGCCTGGCCTTCATGCCCCCAGGTGAGGCTGGGGCCTGGTACATGTCAGTGGTGGTGGGAGTTCTTTGACTGGGAAGCCAGGAACAAGTCCTCATTCCTACCTCTTCTATGACAGCTGAACAGAACCCAGCTCCCCTGGCACAACCAGAACCTCTAGTGTGGGTCAGCAAGTGGGTTGACTACTCCAACAAGTTTGGCTTTGGGTATCAACTGTCCAGCCGCCGTGTGGCTGTGCTCTTCAACAATGGCACACACATGGCCCTGTCGGCCAACAGAAAGTAAGTGCTACAGTGGGGTGCCTTGTATCCAGGCCTCTGTACTCAGCAATACTGCAACTTAGTGTGTGTTCCCGGGCTCCCGGTCCTGCAGTCTCTGCGGAGGGGGTGTGGGTGCAGGGCTCCCTCTGACCTCTGTCTCTGCTTCCTCCAGGACTGTGCACTACAACCCCACCAGCACTAAGCACTTCTCCTTCTCTGTGGGTGCCGTGCCTCGGGCTCTGCAGCCTCAGCTGGGAGTCCTGAAGTATTTCGCCTCCTACATGGAGCAGCGCCTCATGAAGGTTTGTGAACTGGGTCGGGGTGGGGGTGGGGTGGGGTGGGGTACATTCAGGACTAATACATCCTGATCCCCTCCTAGTCCCCTTTGGGGGTGGGTGGACAGTGGGGTGGGTGTTGAAGCTAGAAGCTGACCCTCAAAGGAGACATGGATAGGGAGAGGACTGACTGGTGTCAGACAAGTGACCTGCCCCTGTTCCCAGGGTGGAGATCTGCCCAGTGTGGAAGAGGTGGAGGTACCTGTGCCCCCACTCCTGCTGCAGTGGGTCAAGACCGATCAGGCCCTACTCATGCTCTTTAGTGATGGCACCATCCAGGTAAGAGCTCCGCCTGGAGTGGGGGGTGAGGACTGGGAGGTCCAGGGTGCTGGAGAGGAAACGATCTGGGCGCGAGGCCCTGACCAGTGCCACCATCCTGTGCACAGGTGAACTTCTACGGAGACCACACCAAGCTGATCCTCAGTGGCTGGGAGCCCCTCCTTGTGACTTTCGTGGCCCGCAATCGCAGTGCTTGTACTTACCTCGCTTCCCACCTTCAGCACCTGGGCTGCTCCCCAGATCTGCGGCAGCGGCTTCACTATGCTCTGCGCCTGCTCCGGGACCGTTGCCCCGTCTAGGCCACAGTCTGCGGGCCCGGCCACCACTCAGGCCCTCAGGCCTGAGGTCTGTGCCTGTCAGGCCCTGGCCCTCGCCTTCGTGGCCCTCCCTGTTTCTTTGGTGCCTCACTGGGGGCTCCGGGCCGAATTCCCCAGGGAATCAGGGACCAGCTTTACTGGGGTTGGAGGCGGCCTCCCAACCCTTCTCCAAGAAAAGCCTGAGCCTTAGCCCCCCGCTAGGGGGCGTTATTTATGGACCACTTTTATTTATTGACATTTATTTATTGGGATGTGAGCCCCACGAAGGGCCTCCTTCTGGGATAATAAACCGTTTTTGCAGAACTCGAGGGCCTCCTCACTCGCAGTAGAGTCCGTGGACCGTGGCCACGGCGAAGAGCGAGGCGTTGGCGATGGCAGCCGAGGCCAACCCGTCGCGCGCCGCGTCCCAGAGCGCGCGGCTGACCACGCGGACGCCCTGGCCGGCGCGCTGCCCCAGCACCACGCTGCACACCAGCTTGTAGCGCGGCGGGCTGAGCTCGCGCAGGCGCATGCGCACCAGCTCGCACAGCTCCTGCGCCAGCCGCCCGGCCTCTGCGCCCGAGTAGCACGCGTCCCACAGTCCCGCGGCCAACGCAGCCTCCAGGGCCTGCTGTGCGCGCGCGGCCTCCCAGCGCTCCCCTGGCGCCGGCTCCGTGCGGTACGAGGGCGCCATCCGGCGGGTGGGCGCCAGGGGCAAGCCAGAGAAGCTGACCCGTGAGCCTAGAGGGGGCACGGGGCCCAGGGATGGGCGTCGACCCCCAGGGCCTGCACTTGGCCCTGCCAGCGAGTTGCGGCGTGAAAAGGACAAGACCGGACCTAGCACGGAGCCACGGCGGGAGGCCGGGCCCAGGCCAGCTGGTCGGGTTTCATCGATGCTGGGCAGATGGCCTAGAGGCCGCACTGCTGATAGTTTCAGCCCATGGTCTTTGGCCTCCTCCTCCTGGCGTCCGGGGGGCACAGGCCTGCCAGCCATGGACCTGCTGGCTGAAAGACCCACGCTTGGATGGGATGGCTCTCACTAGCTATCTTTGTACACCATCTAGTCTCTTACTCAGTGATGAGTTTTTACCCTCTAATACCTCCTTACCTGTGTTTTTCGGACCGGTGAATCAAATAGTTCCCAGCTGCGTGGATTCCTGGGTGCTTAGAGGGTTAAGGGCTGTTAGGGACAACAAGGGAAGAGACGCTGCTCAGACTGTCATCTCTCTCTCCCTACCCCCTGAGCTCCACTTCACCTGGGCACTACGGAGGTTAGACAAGTGCGCTCCAAGTACACCTCCCTTCCACCTGACTCACCAGCAGAAACTGGGATGTATCTGCCCTCTGCCTGCGCCTAGACAGTGGCGCCTCCACCCCCTAACCAGAGGAAGGGACAGACAGACCCAGCTCTTTCAGCTCCCACAGATCCTTCTAGCCCCTGTGAGTCTTGAATCCAGCCATCCTCCACCCACTCCCTGCTGTCTGGCAGAGCCTGGGGCTAGGTGACTCAGGATGGTCCTTCCAGCCTCTGTTTTTGGCTTCTGGCCCTACCTCCAGAGTCAGTTCTGGTATGGCTGCCTTCTTTTCCCCAAATTCCTTAGGCACCTGAGCCACCTGCAGCCTGTGTCCTCCAGGCTCTCTTCTAACAGCCCTTGCCCCACTGGCCTGACTGGCAGGTAGGAGGGTAAGGGCCCCTTGCCTGTGTTGTGGAGTTGCCCTGGGTTGCTGGGCAAGCACTCCTCTTCTTCCTGGTTCCCTCTCACCAGTCCTGGCTCTGGCTTAACCTGGGAGTGTTACTGTAAGCACGTGTTGAATGCCGGTTGGCTGAGTCATCAGGGGAGGGGGATCAACAGGGGGTTAAGCCCAAGGACATACAAGTGTGAATGAAGGGTCAGAGGTAGAGGCTGGCTCTGGTCAGAAAGGTGTCCCCCTACCCCAGGGCTCTTGAGCCACTGTCCATTTCTCCCCTTGTGAAGGCTGGCTCTCTACTTGTCAGCAAGTCACAGAAGCCTGGGATATGGGGAAACCCTGAGGCTCCTGGGTGGCTGCTCAGGAATCAGGATCCCGGCCTACAGGAAGGAACACGTCATGGCCCTATTAGGACAAACATTTCCGTTCCTTGTATACAGCTAGGGTGGGGCTTGGATGACTTCCTCAGTTCTGGGCTAGGGGAGGGGGAAGGGAGACCCACTGGAACTCAGATCTGATGCAACAGTGGTGACTTCACTCCTCAGTGAATCCTGCTGACCTACCTAACTTAAGTGTCCTGGGCCTAGTCCCCGCCCCCCGTCCACACCTCTTGTGTGCCCTAGTGCCGAGACTGCCCCCACCTGCACTGTGGTTGCACATTAGGGACGTCAGAGACCATCATGCCTCTGTCAGTGTTGTCACCTCCTCACCTGACCCCTCTCTGGGAGGTCCAGGACTGCCACCTCCCAAACAAGCCAGGTCTGGACCCTGAAAATGGTCCATGGGGACAAGGACTTTCCCTGTTGATGGGAGTTTTTCGGGTCCGGTTAACCTGTATGCTTGTAGGGGGAGGGGAGGGAGGGGACACGAAATTTGAACTCTGAACCCTGGTCAGGCAGGGGCCAGGATGCTAAGACCCTCCAACTCTGCTTAGGGCCCCTCTAGGGCTGAAGTTTTTCCTGGGCCTGTGGGAGCTGGGCGGGGCCTCCTCTCAGGCCGGCTCTAGTTTCCGTGGAAACCCACAGGCTTCCCACCCCAGCTGCCTGGGCAGGCTCCCAGCTGGGGCCTCATCCGCAGCCAGCCTCTCCTCCCCAGTCCAGTCTGCTCCACCTCGGCCTCTCTTGGTCACCTCCCTGAGTCCTCAAGCCTCTGGCCTCTTGCACTGGCCTCTGATGCCTTCTGGGCCTCTCCTGCCTCATTCCTAAACTTTAGCTTCTCAGCAAACAGGCCTCTGGATCTCTTGCCCCTCCCTCTCAGGCCTTTCTAGCTCTTCACCAGCTCTAGGGCTCAGCCAGGCCTCCTGCTCCTTCTACGTACTGTCTGTCCCACACATAACAAGCCTCCTAGGCTGTTCCTCCTGCTTAGTCCCCTGCCCCACCCATGGAGACCCCAGGACTGGTTGTGTATGGGGAGGCTGCGCCTTTCTCCACAGCACTCCGGAGCCTCGTCAACAACCCCTTATACAGGTGAGAGGGGCGCCTATCTGGGGGTTTTCCCTAACTGGCTCTGCTGGGAGCCATGACTCTGAGGAATCTGAGTACAGAGGAAGTGGAGAATTAGGACTTGACCCTTCTCCTGGGTGAACTCAGCCTGGGGAAGTGGAGTGTAGAGGATGGCTACTGATCACACAGTATCTGTGACAGCCTGAGAGCCAGAGGTGGGGGCAGTGGGGACTGGAGCTCAGAGCAGCTATGTGACTTCAGGGAAAGGCCTTCCTTTTTTGGATCTTGGGCTCCTGGCAGAGAAAAGCCCTCTGCCCTCTGGATCCTGAGAAATGGAATGTAACTTGAGTGCCTCCCTGGGGAGGCAGAGGAGCAGACGATCCTATTCTGGGAATTGGGGACTTGTAAGGGGAACGAACCTCAGGAGACTGAGCCAGAGGCGCAGACAGGAAGTAGTTCACGTGTACCGCCTGGGGCTCACTGCCTGTAGTGTCTGGAACCAGGGACCAAGTACGGGGCCGGGCCAGTCAGAAGAACCAGAATGCAGCTTTCTGTCTCCACTGCTTCAGAGCTGGGGTCCTCCTGCAGGTTGGCGATTTCTGTAACCCTACTGCTTTGGGTGTTCCAGTCTGGTCTGAGCAGTGGACCACACCACCCCCCCACCCCACCCCCCTGCCCCACCGCTCCCCTCAGGCCTTGGACTTGAGACTAGAAGGCTCCAGGAAGCTCAAGCTTCATCATCTGTCTCTTACCCACTGTGCTGTTCAGAGGCCCAGAAGCTGGGGCCGGAAGTGATCATGAAAATGGAAAATGTGGTCTGGCCCCATGATAGTGCATCACTGACGTGCCTGTTTGCAGTCAGTGCCCTCCACACCCTCCCTCCTCCCCCCTCCTGTCTGGAGGAGGCTAAAAAAGCTGAATTTGCAGTCCGTGGAGAAAAAGCCAAAAAGAGTTTCCCTTCACCAGAGACACAGGCTAGGGAGGAGAGAGACATTGGGATTGATCTTGTTATCAGCCCTGGTACCCCCTCAGTGATCAAACATAGCCACCTAATGTTAGCCACCCTAGGGTCTGGGATGAGCATTCCATTTCAGGGATGAGAAACCCGAGAGGCAATAGATCAGAAATCTCTTCCTTAGGCTTCTCTCGCCTAGGTGGAGCTGTGATTAGAACCAGGCCTGTGTGACCCAGACCTTTGGCTAGAGAGACTGCCTCTTATATGGCAGATAAGGAAATGGAGGCCCAGAGAGGGCAAAGGCAAAGTCTAGAGTTACACAGAGACTCTAGCCTCTTCTTCCTGGCTCTCGGCCCCTCTCTCCCACAGTGATGTTCGCTTTGTGGTCGGTCAAGAACGGCAGGAGGTGTTTGCCCACCGGTGCTTGCTGGCGTGTAGATGCAACTTCTTCCAGCGACTTCTGAGCTCAGAGCCAGGCCCTGGGGTGCCTAGCCCTGTGGTGCTGAGTACCGTGCCAGCTGAGGCTTTCCTGGCAGTGCTGGAGTTTCTGTATACCAACAGTGCCAAGCTGCAACGCCACTCTGTGAGCCCACTGGGCAAGGGTCTGGGTGGGCAAGATCTGGGTGGCTGAGTGGCGGGAAGACTCTCTTCTACTATGCCAACCACCCACTCTGCAGGTGCTCGAGGTGTTGACGGCGGCTGTGGAGTATGGGCTGGAGGAACTTCGAGAGGTGGGTTCATGGGCAGCCGTCTAGTTTCCTCTGCCTCTTATGGGCGTGGTTCACACCCCGCCTCACACACCTGCTAACCTGGAGAGGAATGTGCACCAATACAGAGAGAAGAAGTATGGGTATCTCTATATAAACAGGCATTGATGCATGCCTGTGTGCAAAAGGATATGTGTGTGCCCTGTGGGGGCATATGGAGATGTAGATACTGGGATAAGTTATCCTTGATCCCTGTTCTTCAAAGAGAGACAGACACAAGAAAAACACTTAACCCAGTGGCTTAAGAAGTGTGACAGAGAAGGGCATATGGTGTTGAGGTTGTACAGTCTCTCCAGTCTCACCACGAGGGAGAAGAGGGGAAGACTTCCTGGAGAAGGAAACATTTGTGTTGCATCGGGTAGGATAGGTAAGATTGTTCAGCGGGAAGAGGAAAGATAGTATTCTAGTCACAGAGGCACAAAAAGAACTGGTGAGACATTCAGTGTAGCTAGACTAAGAGGACTGAGTGTGAAAGGAAGAGAGGAAGAGATGAGATTGGGGAGGGTGCCAGGGGCTGGTTCCTGTAGGACCTTCAAGAATTTGGACTTCTTTGACCCAGAGGGCAGTGGAGTTTCACTGGAGGTTTTAGGTAGTGAGGATTTGGATGCTAAGAGGAGAAGGGATTGGGAGCCATGGGAAGGGCTCACCAATCCCGTAGGGACAGGGGTGGCAGTGGTTACCCGGGAAAGAAGTGCCTGCCTTTGAGAGAAGTGGAACTGGCACTGTTCATAGTTCAGTTGCTGTAGAAATTGAGGTTGCCCTAGCAACCAGTGTTGTTGTTCAGTGGCTGTTGTGTCTGACTCTTTGCGACCCCATGGACTGCAGCACAGCAGGTGTCCCTGTCCTTCATTATCTCCGAATTTGCTCAAACTCATGTCCATTGAGTCACTGATGCCATCCAACCATCTCATCCTCAGTCTCCCCCTTCTCCTCCTGCCCTCAATCTTTCTCAGCATCAGGGTCTTTTCCATTGAGTCTGTTCTTCACATCAGGTGGCCAAAGTATTGGAGTTTTGGCTTCAGCATCAGTCCTTCCAGTGAATATTCAGGGTTGATTCCCTTTAGGATTGGCTGGTTTGACCCTGTGAACTGGCATTACCCAGGGCTTTTCTGGATGTGGGGGGGTGAGAGGGAGATGTCACAGATGAATTCAAGTTTCTGGTTAAAATAGTGTCTTTGAGTTCAGAGAAAATTGTGGAGAAAGATAAGTGTCTTGAAAGAAAAGGAGAGTGGAATTTTCACACAGCTCTTATCTAGTCTGATTAGTGAGGAATGTACTAAAAGGTGGGCTGCTGGGCTTGGCTTTGCTAGTTCCTAGTCTCAGGCCTTGGTGATTCCCTGCCTCCCTTGGCCTGGGAGGTCTCCGTGGGCCTGGGGCTGCTAGTAGCCTGGGTGGCTCACTGCTCCAAGGCTGTTCACTGTTTCTGGGGCTGGGGCCTTGAAGCGGGGACATCTGGGCACAGCCCACCTTCATTTCTGTTCCCAGCTGTGCCTGGAGTTTGTGGGGAAGGCACTGGACGTGGAGCTGGTTTGCGAGGCCCTGCAGGTGGGTGCCGCTGGACAGGCTTGCAGGAGGTTCCGGTGTGGAGGGCCGGGCTGCCCGGCCTCTCCATCTCCAACCTGACCTCCTTCATTCTGCTCTCAGGTTGCTGTAACCTTTGGCCTGGAACAGCTGCAGGAGCGTTGTGTAGCTTTCATTGAGGCCCACAGCCAGGTACTCCCCGCTGCATACTCCCTACCCCACACCCCTCGTTCTGCTCCTCCCTGACCCAATCGCGGATCCATAGGAGACCCTCCGGACCCGTGGTTTCCTGGAGCTGTCCGCGCCCGCGTTGCTGCCCCTGCTGCGTAGCGACAAGCTCTGTGTGGACGAGGCCGAGCTGGTCCTGGCGGCCCGGAGTTGGGCGCGCGTGGGCGCGGTGAGCATGGGCTGAAGGGAGTGGGAGGTAGGGGTGCTGAAAGAGGCTCTAGCTGCAGGAACCAGGAGAGCAGGCGGTTGGGCAGGTGCCCCCGCCCGCCCAGGTTCAGTGCTGACGTCCGCAGGCGGTGCTAGAGCGGCCTGTGGCCGAGGTGGCGGCCCCGGTGGTGCGGGAGCTGAGACTGGCCTTGCTGGCTCCGGCAGAGCTGAGCGCCCTGGAAGAACAGAACCGGCGGGAGCCGCTCATCCCGGTGCGGACGCGGGGAACACGTCTCGGATCCATTCCGTGGTGTTGGGGGAGGCGAGGGGGGCGTGGTCCAGGGTCTGCGGGGTAAGGTGGGCACTGCAGGACTCCGCGGTGATTCGCATCCCTTGCAGGTGGAACAGATCGTGGAGGCGTGGAAGTGTCACGCTCTGCGGAGAGGGGATGCGGCCCGGGGCACCCCGTGCCGCCGCCGGAGGGGCACCCTGCCCCGGGAGCATCATCGCTTTTTGGATCTGCCCTTTAAGTGACCAGTGCCGTGACTTGCGAAGCATTATGCGCCTCTATTAAACTGCAGTTCCCAACAAGCTCCGCGCTCAAAGCGGGCTTCCGCTCCCAGAATGCCGGGCGAGTGGGGGCGGGAAGGACCAATGTGTGCCAAACGCAGGCGCTATGGGTGAGGTTCCGGCGGTGGGCGGGCCTGAACGCCGCGGTCTTCCGCTGAGCCTTGGCCTTCAACCCTGCGCAAAGCGCGAAAGCAGTTTGTTTGCCCGCGTGCTCTGGCTCTACAGCCTGTGTCTGAGCACTATCGCCCGCCTCCTTTACTCTTGTAATTCTCACATATCTTTTCAACTCAGCCCCGTCTTTAACTCCAGACCTGGCTCCTGGCAATCTCTCTCCACATGTCCCACAGACAGTTACAAAATTGTGCTCGCCCCTCATCTTTCCCCAGTTCTGCCCCCATCATATTTCTCATCTCCATGGGTCCAAAGCCAGAAACCTAGATGTCATCCTTGCTTTATTCTTCTTCTTCACATTTGCCTCCCATGGCTTCTATTTCTTAAGAGACTGAAAGCAGAATATGCCGCCCCAAAACATGCTGTTTTGGCATAGGGTTGTTTTAAGCTGATTATTTTGAGAAAAAGGAGACGTTTTGAAAACAGAAAAGTTACCCTTTTGTAAGGGAAATTTTTATAAACTAAATCTACATTGGTAAGGGTGTCTCCCTCTTTGAACAGAAGGATGACTAATTTACAGGAGACTTCCTGTGAAATCACTAAGATCTGCTTAATAAACCTTGCTTTCGGTGCTTTTTCCTGACGGCCTTCCCACATCTGGCCTCCCCACACTTTTTTTTCTTTTGTCATTAGCTGAAGGAAGTATTTAAGCAGGTATTTTCGGCCACCTCTGGGAGTTACTGATTTTTCCCTGGGTATCTTCCATGTATATGTGAGATATACATGTTAATAAACTTACATTTTTCCCCCTCTGGTTAAGCTGTCTCATTACAAAGGTCTCAGCCAAGAACTCAGAGAGTAGAGGAAAATTATTTTTCCTTTCCTACAAGATCTTTCCAGTTGGTTCACTTCTCTTATCCCAGTTCAACCAGTCCTATCTGTGGCAGGAATTACTGCCACAGGCTCTTACTAATCTTCCTGCCTTCACTCCAGTGGAGACCTCCTCCCCAACCATTTCCTACAGCGCCTCTTGACCTGTCTAAAATTGTCAGCCCTACGCCCTTTAAGTTTCTCTATTTACCCACTGCCCTCTGGACAAAATAGAATGTTTCACTTTTAGAGCACTCAAAATTCTGGTGGTTCCAAACACTGGTAACTCAACTACTACCTTTGCAAAAATTCACTGGTCCTCAGACTTCCCTGGTGGCACAGTAGATAAGAATCTGCCTGCCAATGCAGGAGAAATGAGTTCCATCCCTGGTCCGGGAATATTCCACATGGTTTGGAGCAACTAAGGCCGTGGGCCCAACTACTGAACCTGAGCTCTAGAGGCCTCAAGTCTGCAACTACTGAAGCCTGAGCAACTAGAGCCTGTGCTCTGCAACAAAAAAAGCTATAGCAATGAGAAGCCCTCACACCGCAACAAAGAGTAACCCCCACTTGCTGCAACTAGAGAAAGCCCATGCACAGCAATGAAGACACAGCACAGCCAAAAATAAAAAACAAAAACAAAAAACCACTGGTATTCTATCCCTGGATTTCCTCTCGGTTATTGAGGATTCCCCATGCTCTCCTTTCATTTGTTGTACATTTTGTCTTCCTGAGGATCCAGATCTCCCTGAAGAAAGATCTCTGGGGCCAGGAGTGGAGCCTAATTCATTTCTACTTCCCCAGTCCCTGACACATAATCAGTTCTCTGTAAATGTTCAGTGATGACTTTGCTTTCTTATTTAAATATTATTTTATTCCATTAAGATACAATCATTATGAAATTAGGGACTGACTTTATTTTGGCTGTGCCTCTGGATTTGTGGCATCTTAGTTCCCTGACCAGGGATCTTTTAATATCTGGTGCCCCCTGCATTGGAAATGTGGAGTCTTAACCACTGGACCCCCAGGGAAGTCCCTAGTTGACTATTTGGAAAAAAAATAAAGTTATTCTTCTTTCTCATGGATTTTACATGTTGTACATGGGTTAAAAAGTTATTTGTTATTGTATCTCTCAAGACTGAAAATGTGGTTACCCCTTAATACCACCTGAGATAATGAAAACTGAAGAAGAAAAGCTCTATGTCCTGGAGGACTGGTTTAATTTAGAGCGCTGGTTAAATTAATTATGGTATAGTCCTACAGTGATGTTAAAAAAAACCCCATGGTCTTTGGTGAGAAAAGCACAGTGCAGACCAAGCAGAGCATGATTCCTTTTGCTGAAAGACAAGATAATATTGGGAGGAAAAGTTTTCCTTGCTCTTAGCTTGGTAACATTTGAGGAGGTAAAAATCTGTTTGCATGAAGCACACATTTTGAATATGGAGTCAGTAGGATCTGCTAATGGCTGTGAATCTGGAGGACACCAAGTATGAGCTGATAATCACTTAAAAGTCACTTCCCTGGTGGCTCAGATGGTAAAGAGGCTGCCTGCAATGCAGGAGACCTGGGTTCAATCTCTGGGTGGGGAAGATCCCGGGAAAAGAAAATGGCAACCCACTCCAGTATTCTTGCCTGGAGAATTCCATGCACAGAGGAGCTTGGCAGGCTACATCCACGGGGTCACAAAGAGTCAGGAACAACTGAGCGACTTTCACTAAAATCCACAGGCCTAGGTGATCTCCCCTAGAGGGGATGTAGATCTAGGGACAAGAGGACACAGTTGGTAGCTAGCCTTGTTCTCTCATAGTGCTGTTTCTGTAGGGCACTTTTCACAGAGATTATGTATTATCTACCCTTTTTCTTTCTTTTTTTTTAGTTCTTGGTTCCACCAAAAAATTAAGCTCCTTTTTAACGGAAAGAACCGTGTTATCTTTAGAACGGAAAAGTGTTATTGAGTGAGTGTTGAACAGGCACAGTCTGAAGTAAGTCATACCAGCGTGCCTCAGCTAATTTTCCTCAGATAACAACCTCTGGGAAAGGAAGCAGGTAGGCTGATGGGACTTCCCTGGTGACTCAGACGGTAAAGAATCCGCCTGCAATATGGAAGGCCTGGGTTCAATCCCTGAGTGGGGAAAATCCCCTAGGAGCCCACTCCAGTATTCTTGCCTGGAGAATCCCCAGGGAGAGAGGTGCCTGGCCGGCTACTGTGCATGGGGTCGCAAAGCGTTGAACACGACTTGGCATACCCTGGCGAGAGAGAGAGAGAGAAAATTACTGCGTTTACCCACTTCCTGTATGCTTGCGTGTTTAGTCGCTTCAGTCGTGTCCGGCACTATGGGCTACTGTCTGCCAGGTCCCTCTGTCTAAGGGATGCTCCACGCAAGAATATTGAAGTTAGCTTGCCATTCCCTTCTCCAAGGGATCTTCCGGATCCAGGGATTGAACCTGTATCGCTTACGTCTAGCTGTGTCTCTACCTCTAGCGCCATCTGGGAAGCTTTTGGAGCCTTATCAGATGAAAAACATCAGGTGACTTTCCGATTTTACCTGCCAGGTTCTAAATGATTTACTGCAGAGCTATGTAAGTAGAACACGCAGGAAAACCCCCACAGTTACAACACAAATAATAACCAACTGAAGTGAAATAGCTCAGTCGTGTCCGACTCATTGCTGACCCTATAGACTGCAACCTCCCAGACCTCCTCGGTCCATGGGATTTTCTAGGCAAAAATACTGGAGTGAGTTACCATCTTTTAACCTAGAAAACCTTCTCGACTCAAGAGTTGAACATGGGTTTTCGGCATTGCTAGAAAACACTTTATTTTTTAAATCACCAAAAAAATCCTTATATATTTTAGCTTTGCGAGCTATACTAAGGAAAACAAGTTTCATTTTCGTATTTACACAGCCATTAGATTCTACCTTTTAACTTCAGAAAATGTAGCCTCGTTAAAAAACGAGGCCTCAAAAAATTGGGTAAAGACTCAGAATTGTTCCTCTCCACGGAAATCTTTAGTAAAAGGCGAAAGATTTATACGATCTGAAGAGAAACCAGAGTATGTCTGCGCAGTTCCGCTTGGAACCTCCCAGAGCAAATTAACACTCTGTTCACTTATGGTTGCTCCGCTCCCGCGCGGTTTGGGCACCTTGAGTGGACTTTGCACAGACCGTAGGTTTCTAACAGGTACTGTCCCCTCCAACAGTGGACAAACCCCCGTGGGGCTGGAATTCAAGCGCGTGAAATCATCTTTTCGTGGTGAACTATGGGTATGCAAATTGCAGGCGGCTCCGCCGCTGGGAGACACCACTCACCCGCCAGGCCGGGCGGCGCTGTGGGCACCTCAGGACTGCTGCTCTCTCCTCTGCGGGTCCGCCGGGAAACCGACGCTTCCTTACCGAGGCTGAGGTTAAAGCCCTGTCATTTCATTCTCGCAGACCCCTGCCGTCACCACCCCTTTGGGAGGAAATGGCATCCAACTTATCTGGAAGGATAGTTCCAGTGAATGGGAGGTGGAAACGAGTTCTCCAGTAGCCCCTGTGAAGTCGTGGGAGGTGAACATGGAAAGTAATTCAGCCTGTCTGGAGTAGGGTGTGGTGTGTCTGAATGAGGGTGTGAATCTGGCCTTTAGCTGTCTGGAGAGAGCTGGGAAGATGGCAGAAGCTAGATCCAGTTAGGCCTGGAAAGGACTTGGCTTTGATCTTGTTATATCAACAGTGGGGAGCCATGAGATGGTGTTGAAGTCAAAGGCCTGAGTAGTACACAGTGCCACACGGGGTGGTTTGCCCTGAAAACTCTGGGACTTGTCCCCAAGACTGGCTGTGGTCAGTGCCCTGGAACCGACTATTCCTGGGGCGGTCCAGCTCCAGTTGGCTGGAATCCTTCAGCTAATGCCATACCACAACACCGTTCAGTGTTTTAGGTTTATTCCCTAAGCATTCGATATATCACAGACTACAAAAACAGAGAGCACCCATGAAGAAGCC